CAATATTGAAAATATTGCTCTTGTAGAAGCAAGTACGTCTGAACAGTGTGAATCTAAACATATGTCATCGGCTGATGTAGATGCATTATTAAGATATACATTTCTCAAATGTCTGAATACCGAAGGCAAAAAATTAACATTACCCATGTTGACAAGTACTTTCTATGGTACGCATATTATGCCTGCCTGTCCTAAAGGTTCCTCTTTAGACATCAAAAAATCGAGTTACAAGAAAGTTTCAAAATTTTTAATTGCTATGAGTGAAGTATGATTTGGTAAATTTAATATTTGAATTTTATACATTATAGATTTTGTTTTCAAATTTTATCTTGCAGGAAGGATTTCTAAAGCTAGGGGAACTTAAAAAGGGAGTAGAAAGTGTAACTGAATTAGCAATTGATCATGATGATGTTAGAACTTTTACTTTAGATGAAAATGATATGCCAACAATATCTACAGATTCACAGAATTCAAATGCTAGTGTTGAAAATCTGTTGAGAGTGACTAAGCCAGTGTTGCCTTTAATATCTTCATGTGGCATTGGGTATAATATATTATTGATATCAATCTTGATAGTGTGTAACTATTATACAGATTATTATTATCTATTTAGAGTTGGACAAACAATTACTCGAGCAGAAATCCGCAAGGCTGTGACAGATTATGTTAAACAAAATTCTCTACAAAACACATTTGATCCAAGGTTAATTGATTTGATTTTTTTTAGTTATTGTAAATATTGTAATAGTGATTATAAATTTTAGAGTAGTAATATTGAATCAAATGTTACAAGATGTTTGTGGTACTTCTGCAGAAGCTTTAGAGTGGCCACGTTTATTAGAGAAAATTGAAAGCCGTATGACACCCATTTTTGAAATGAAATCTGGCTCTCAAACTATTCAGTGTAAAGGAAAGGCACCAATTGTTGTGTTAACAGTTTCTAAGAGAGCTGGTAACAAGAAGGTCAGTTATCACAACATTTCAAATTTTTTTTTTCATATTGTTGCTTCATTTCTTTTACTCTTATTTGCAGGTGACTCTAGTAGATAATCTAGAATTGTTTGGAATTAACTTGTTAGAGTTCTCTAAAGATTGCCAGCTCGGAGTGGCAACCAGTACTAGTATAAATAAATCATCAGACAAAAAAGGTGATCAAGTTCTCATACAAGGGAACCAAGTTGCTTTCATAGGAAAATTATTAACAGGTAAATTTTATTGTCAATTATCTATTTATACATATCAATGAGTCTAATATCAAATCTAGTGACTTGATAATCATTTTTCAGACAAATATAAAATACCGAAGAAATATATTCGTGGTTTAGAATTGGCAGTGAAGAAGAAATAAATTGTGATGTTAGACTGCCAAGTCTTGAATAATATCTTGCTTTTATGTAATTTTAGTTGGACGTGAATAAATTACAGAAAAATATATTTTTTGTCTTCGTCACTCAAGTAATTCAGGTGAGACTAAAATTTTCAGGTGTTATTCAACAAAAATGGAAAATATTTAATATTTGTGATGTGGCTATGATATTATAAAAATATAAATTGAATGAAACAACAATCTAATGCATAACAAGTTGATATATAACATTTTATTTGTAATATTTAATAATTTTCATAATTAAGTTCTGTGTTATTGCACATTCACACGAATTCATTGCATGTCAAATATAATTAAATTTATTATTCTATTTCACAATGTATTTTTAATTTTACATAATCATAGTGAAGCAAAATATTGAATATTTAAGTACTATATACATTTATTTGTGTATATTTGTATATATATATATATATATATATATATATATACAACGGGCTCTCATTTTTGTATAAATCAATTGATGTTTCAAGACCTGTACATGATAAATCGTTAGTGTAATTAAAGAATTTTGAATTATAACATTTGTTTAAAAATTACCTCCTACAATTAAGTAAGCAAACATTGCATTACATGAGTATGTATAAATTGTGGGTATATGTCTACAAGCAAATATTAAACAAAATGCGATCGCTGGTATTTGCCGTAATTGTATTTGGTAAAGTGGGAATGTGACTTAATGTTACAAATTGAAAATTATATTACAAAATCTATATTGGTATAAATATAATTGAATGTCCGTAGATGATTGCGTAATGTATGAAATATGTAGATATTTGATATACTATTAGATTTTTTTTGTTGAAATCAAAGAATGTTATATGCAAATACTTCATTTTTATGAATTACTTTATCTTTAATATAAATATACTTGATTCAACAAACGAGAAATTCAATTCAGTTCTTTTTTTTTGCTCTCGAACTGCAATAAATTCTTTTCCAAATTCGCTGACAAGCTTGTTTGCCCAATATGGTTTGTGATTTGGCAGTTTTATGTAGGAGTTTTCAACAAATGACGTGATACAAAATTTTCTAATTACACTGATGATGAGGTTAAAACAGGTTTGAAAAATTCTGCTGATTTCAATAATTTTTAACAAATTAAGTGCAAAAAAAAGACTGAATTACGCTCATAACGTTATTGATATATATGATATGTAAAATAACATACTAAAGTTTAGATAATTTTTTTTATGCATTTGCAAAAATGCATTATGATCCCAAATAAATATGCAATACATGCGTAGAAAATATTGTATATATGTAATTTGTATAATGTAAGTGGTAGTGCACCATGTACAGTGAAAATGCTTTAAAATGCATTTATTTTATATATGTATATATGAAATAAATATCAACTCGTGCAATATTACAAATCGTGCTTTGATAATTTTATTATCTGTACATTTCAGTATTCAGTAATTTGAGTCATATATAATTTACTGAATTGCATAAACGTTTGTCGATTAAAAATTATAAGGCGAATTTTTTTTTTAGTAAAGGTCAGTAAAGGAATGCCATTTTCTCAGTACTATTAAACACTTCTCATATCATTGTAATGCGGCGGCATTGTCGGCGTTTGGTAAATTAAATATCTAGGAATCTAGATATGAAAAATCAATTGTGAGGTAATTATTTTGTGATCATTACGTATAGTTTATCAGAGAGATTTATAATGCGGAGAGTATGTGGTAATAGTTACTAGACATTTCAAAATTCATCTTGTAACAAATGTTACGAAAGTTTAGGCCGACACATCAAGTTTATTGAAGCTCGGTTAAGATAAAGTTTTTGTGATCACATAATAGTATATATTATTAATATTTATGATTTTGAAACATATCGAAAACTGGCTACAATCATAGCAATATGCTTACAATAGCATATATATTGAAATTGATTGATCTATTGCATGACAGAAGAGGGCAAACTCTTCGTAAACTTTTTTTTATAAGTTTCAATAGATTATTTTTCCAAACTAATTTAAAATAATCGTTATGTATGCACGGGCTTTCTATACACATTATTATAAATAATTTTCAAAATAAAGTTTTTGTACGGAAGATATGTTTTGACAATAGACTAATGTCCTTTCAGGTCATATTGATAAAAATAGAATACACAGCTACAAATAGACTTTTTAACAACATTTGGGATCATATATACTTTTCAAATTGTTTTTATCTTTATAGTCTATCAGATACAGTAATACTATTTCTAGTAACAATATTCCAACAGATTAAATATAATTCGATTAAAATAGATTTTCTTTTCATATTAATAACATTAATTTCACGTGTCAATATATTAAATAGAATTTATTTATCGGATATGCATATCTCACTGTACTGAATATGATAGCTTCGTATTTATATTTATATATCACTATGATGTGATCCAAGAAAATACTACTGCCCTTTTACAAAATAAAATTTAAAATAACATGAAAAAGCCTGTGAAATTTTTGATATAACTAATGAACATTATACAAGGAGTTTTTGTCATTAAAATAAGCAGTACAAAAGTACATCGAAGCAGTGTAACTTTCTCTACATTGAAGTAGTTATGATATTTAAATTTATCATAAGAGAAAATGACAGTACAGCAAGTTAGATATTAGGAATTCGCCTTTTGTCTATATACATTCAAACAATATTAACAAAGAAAAAAAATTGTCGTTGCACTCGATTGGAGTTTTAATTTGATCTATATGGTTTGGTCTTTAATTCTATGTCGAAGTTTTTATTCATTTGTTTTTCTGTAAACAAACGTCCATATATTGAAATGAGGTCTATAGGCATATTTAAATGGTTCATTAAACAATTATTATAATTATCTTTAATATATGAATGCAACGAAAATCTACAAAATTAGGTTACACAACGATTTTCGTGGAATTACGTTTTGATTTCAATAGCTATTATTCTTTAATTAATATTATCTTCAAACTTTGAATTATTTTATAGATAGAACATGTGATTAACACTATCAATTTTGAGAATATATTTTTTCTTGTATTAGTAAATAGCATTACTGAAGAAAAACTCGAATAAGTAACTAGTTGACTATAATTATGAAAAACTATTGAATTTTAGGCATCAATTTTATATTATGAATATTTGTTTGGCAGATAATATAACTGTTGACATTATAATAATGAAAATCAAATTAAAACTCCGTCTCTAAAACGTTGTTCATACCCGTCGCTTTTAAGTAAATTTACATCAGCTGAAAAATCAATTTCCAGCCCAGGCACAAGCTTTGTGGGTTTCGTACAATGATCTGATTTCGTGTAAAATAACATTTTAGATGAATATGGTGATTCTATGTCCATTATGAGTATATATATATATATATATATATATATATATATATATATATATATAAATGTATATATAAGCTATTTTATACGGTATAATATATTGCTATTAGAGTATGACTACTATCATGATATCGTCAGTGATCCATACTCGTGAAACAACATCTTTGTTCTCAGTGGCCGACAATCAGTAAATCTATATAGTATAATTATGACTAAATTTGAATTATCGAATTGAATAAGAAAGTAATCAAGTATTATTATCGAGAGAGAGGAATAAGTTTGAAGTAGTAATTAGAACCAGCTCGAACCGCCTCCAAGTTTCGAGCTGAGGCCGCCGATGCCTTTGCCTAACATGCTGCCCATTCGTCCGACGACCATGTTCGTCACGTTGCTGATGTTCGAGGTGAGACCTTCGCCATCTTCATCACCATGGGTCGCCTTCTTGGCTCTGTCGTCACTGTCGGCCATGTCGCCTCCGCCCCTGCAGGCATTACGTTTTGTTTAGAGACGATTTTCTTGTTGAATTCATCACCACTCATATTTAGAAGGATGTGTGTAACTCCGTTTTAAATATATTTTACGAGTACAATTTTACTTTTAACACTTTCGACTCGGGAGTCGGACTGCTAGTCGGTACGCTGCGCTCGGAATATTATTGTGCTATACATATCTCTCAACTCGGAATTTTTTTTGTATCGGATTTTTTCAAAATGTGGTTATATTGCTTTTAAATATAGTTATTATGATAATAAAATAGAAAATTTTGAAAATTAAAAAATTGCACTCAAAACCATGCTATATTGTTTAAAAAATCATTTCTTCACAGATCTTTATTAGAATTATGGGGATCATGAGCTAATAAATTAATTTTGTTATATATTTATTTATAAAATTAATAAATCAATCAATAAATGAATGTAATAGTAAATTAATTTTTAAAAAATAAAAAAAATAAATGTAAGTTTAGTTTGCGACGAGTCGTTGCCGACACGATTTGCCGCCGGAGCGGCGGCATCCGAGCTTAACGGTAAAACATACCATGCCGCCGGAGCGGCGACATCCGAGCGCAACGGTAAAATGACTATGCCGCCGGAGTGGCGGCATCCGAGTCGAAAGGGTTAATATTAACAAACTTACTCTGAGTCGTCCGGTCTCTGTGACATAGTCAGTGAACACGTCGCTTCCTCAGTTTGCATGCGTTGAGAAATTGTTTGGTAAGCTTTGGAATTTAATTTATCTTCCATCACGCCTTGCAGCTCAAAATCAGAATATACTTTCTATAAGATTACATTACATTATTAGAATCGTATTACTTTTTTTTTTGTAACTCGATGTATCCGCTTACCTTGACTATATGAGCTAAACATGTACATTGATAATAGTGCAGCGAATGATCTAATCTCTCCGATAGCCAGTTGCACAGCATATTTATTTGACTGGTGTACCATTGCTCGAAGAAATTGAGAATCCACAGTTCGTCATTGACTTTTGACCTGATCTGATCCATACAATTTCTCGTAAAATTAACATATCCTTGCCCTAGATCCTTGCCAGATCCGGAAACATTCTAAAGGCATACACGTGTTAGTATTTACATTTGGTGTTGAAAATAAGTTTACACTAGTTTACCGTGAAACTTAGAATGGATCCTATTAAACTGCCTTCATCATAACGAGATAATTTTGATAATGATGCTTCTAAAACGGACATCAGTTTCGTGATCATACCTTGGTTCATATTGGCTAAGGTTTTATCTATTTGATCATCAATTTTCGTGTGGTATTGATGCTAAAATATTTTTTTTCATAATTATATAGTAGCTATATAGATAGATAAATGTTATAAAGTTGCACAACGTGATTTAAAGTTTTTCATTTTATATTTCGTACAAATGGTCAAAATATTTGAATAATTACATACGAATGAATGAGTTATATATTTGGAACATTTCTACGTACGACATCAACGCCGTCGACTGCGCACAACTTGAAGCTCTGGTTCTTGGCATCAAGAATGACGTTCACCATGGCGCACATTTCGCTCGGCAGGATGTAATCGGTTGAAATAAATGTAACGCTTTTCTTCAGCCATTGCTGAAAAGCATTTTCTGTACGCTGTATACAGGATTCCATCATGTCGCATGCCATTAGTTTTAGACGTTGCTCTAAATGTTGCCTGAATTCCGTATCGGGCCAATTGAGATCTGCTATGAAGGATTGTAGGGCGTCGAGTTTCCAGAATAGATCTTCTGATGTCACACAGCCATTTCTGTTCGAGTATATGATATATGGTTTTGCAATAATTTATAGTATTTAAAATTTAATTATTGTTTACCCTTTAATTTCCCATCGTTCTTTTTCGAATCCTTTGTGAATTGATTGAGCTATAGAGGACTCCATTAAATCGACATAACGAACAACTAGAGGAGCAAATGTGTCCCTCAAATGTTGATGGAATCTTCCATTTTTCAAATTATCTGAAATCAAAGTAAAATTCGTAAAGTAATTGTTGATGACTTGATGTTCTAAGTAATAAAAGTTGTAGGAAATTATTAAGGACTGAAAATTGATTGTAGTCTTTGGTGAAATTAATGACTTGTAACTTTTGTTTTTTTTGCTTAGAGAAGATCTTACCATCTGTCGCTAGATAATTGTTTAATATTTGAAACAACGGAAACGAGTCCCATGTGTCAGGATTTTGTTCGGCTAAGACGCGATCCATATCGACTGCAAACAGCGACCAAAATATTTCTGCGTGCTCCACCAGCAAATCGCTGAACCAGGCGAAGGCCTGCACATCGATCGTTCATTAGCAACAATATACCTCTAATTCGCATTGTGCTATATTGATTACGAAAGATTTGTGTAAAAATAAGAATGCGAGTGAAAAATATAAGCGGTTCTCTAATAATTAATAATTTTGTTTTGTTTTTTTGTAATTTCATGTTTTATTAATGCACTCTTGTGCAATTAACGCAATGAAGCTATTTTCATTCAAAATTGTGCTTTTGTGTGGCATATGTAAATATTTGTGTTCATATATACTTTATAATATATATTTGCGTTCATATATACTTTATAATTGCATCGTGATTCTCTCTGATTTTATTAACTTTTCTCATTCTCTTTGAATGTTATTTCCAAAAAAAAATTGATATTTAACTACTCATTTTTCTGTATTAAATACTACTTACTGCATGTGAACAAAATAATAATTATTTGGAATCTAAATATCAAAATGCGTGGTACGACACAAATGTATATAAACAAGTCCTTGATTTGTATATATATATATATATATATATATATATTTTGTAGAGTTTCGAACAAGAATCCAAAAATAATACAAAATTAAAAACAAGAAAAGTTTTTAAAAAAACAATTTCTTTATTTAATTATTTGTTTATTGTCGACGTTTCGGAACTAGGTACGTTCCATCTTCAGGACATCTGTCAAGAAACATGATCTTGATGAGATTTTTGCAAACAATATGTTTAGGAAAAGAAAATAGATTTTTCTTAAATAATGAATTAAATTGTAAAAAATATAATAATGTACAGAAATATGATAATATGTTCAAAATAAAAATGATAAAAATAAATGAGTGGATTATCAAAACAGGATATTAAACATAATAGAAAATTATTTTGAAAGTTATGGAAATTTTAAGAAAAGGTTAATGACAAAGTTGAATTAATTACCTGTATGTTTGATATTGTTAGCACTTTTTTCACTAAACAAGCTTTTTTTACAAAAATTATTTTGTGATTTAATCAAATTTCCACCGAATAATTAGATTTTGTAAATCAAAATTACTAAAAAACTTTGTCTTTTTTAAAATTATTATTTGAAAACACAAATAATATTGTTCTCTGATGTTGTTCGATTGGTTTACGAAA